GCTCGTCAATGTCTTCAATAGCCACGAACGTGGCGCAGTCTTCCTCGTTGCCGAGGACGCGGGTGAACTCCTTCTCGGGCTCGGCCTCGCTGCTAGAAGAATGCACCGACGATGGGCGCGCGCTGCCGGGCACGAAGGCCTTGACCGTCGGGTTGTACGACGGGGCGGCCGCCGAGATGGCGCTCGGGGCCGCGGGGGCCAGCGGCGCGGGGGCGGGGCGGCCAAACATGGTCGCGTTGGCCGCGGCCTTGGCGGCAAGACGTTCCTTCTGTGCTTTGCCCATCGCGTGTGATTCAACTATGGCACCCTCGGAGCAGCCCGTCGAATTCCCTTGAAAAGTATCCTCGTCGACTATACCTGAGACAATGACGCCGAACCGTCGCATTTTATTGCGCTTGCACGGGATCGCATACAAATCACAAGTGTCTTTTAAAAATACATTTAGATTCATTTTCCGCCTTTTTGATTGGATTCGACGTGGATTCCCTCGCGAACCGAGCTCCACCACCAATCTGCGCGAAGGGGCTTCGATTCTCACACGCTCATTGGCTGAGCGCTACCACGTGTACTGCATTAGGTAATCTAAAAAAAGACGTCGAGAAATGAATGGCGGACGCAACGCCCAATGATTGGGTGGCGCTTGACACGCAAAAAGATCGCGCGGTGCGTTTTATACTCGGATTCGCCTGTTTAAACGCGTCGTGAATCTCAATCTCAATCGCGGATCGCGAGCTTGGAGAAGCCATAGAAGCTCTCAACGACGTTTGACGACGACGACTCGAGTATCGCTCCCATCATGTTGTCGAGGAGCTTGACGCACGTAGCGCCCACGGCCGCACCATTCCGGCGCACGTGCCGGAGTAGAATCGGCAGAATCTCGGCTTCGGGGATCCTTCGCTCGTCGAGCATGAGACCCCACGCCCGCGCTTCTTGCGGCAACGACACACACTGCCCGTTCTTTGTATACGAGTGCGAGCTCAAGAGCACCGTCCGGACGCGTGTGCATGTCGGCGCCGTGCGGTCCACAATGCACCTACATCCATCGCTCCGTGACGACGAAGCGTCCAGACTCGCAGTACCAGTAGAGCGATTTGCGGTAGAGCGAGCGCGAGCTGGGCACGGCTTCGTCTTCCGTGATCGTTTGCCCCGCAGCGATGAACCGATCGGGGCCATAGTACCGGCGAAAGAGGAGCTTGGAGCCATTCGAGACCGGATCGTCTCCAAATGTGGCGCACGAGTACGATATGTTGGTCCCTTGAAGCACCTAGTGCTAGAGTTGGTCGAGAAACACGGGCGCGACCGCGTACCTCGCGGTCCAGCGGCACTGTATGCATGTGGCTCACGCGCTGCTCGTCGGGCGTGAGGCCAGCCATGCTGATCTTGCTCACGACATGCTTCTCGACGGCGGCAACGACTTGTTCAAAGCTGACGCAGTCCACGACGCGCTGGCTGCGCCAGACGTACTGAAGGCAGTCGATGTTGACGTCATCGATGACAAACTCGTCGGGCGCGTCCGTGAACGGGTACCGCTCGAGGATCAGATCTGTGTTCTGGTACACGAGGTGCGTGAGCCAGTCAAAGCCGACGTGACGTGACTCGGGCGACGCGAGGAGCGCAATCTTGCGCACAGCAAATATCGGCAGCTCCATCGGGAAAATCTGGCATTGGAATGAGATCGGATGATGGGGTCGTCGGCATACCTGAGGTATCGTGTGCCACGTGTCTTCCATGGACCGTGCCATGAGCTTGATAAACTCGACGTACGCCGCCCGTTGTTGTTTGAGGAGGCGGTTTTCCGAGACCACGAGTTGGGTCTCATCGTGAAGGCCCACTGCGACGTCCTCCCAAGATAGCGCAGGAACGTCGGGTCGTCGTTGGGCAAGTATGGCCTCGAGATCGGCGACTTCTCGCCGCAGGTTCTCGAGCTCGGACCGCTTCTGGTGCACGTAAAGCTTCTGCTTCGCGCGGTTGTACTCGCGCCACCGGTTCTTCTTCTCTTGGATGCGGCGCTTCTCCTTGAGCTCCATGGCCTTGCACTTCCAGTCGTCGTCGTCGCCACCCGCATCCATGCTCCGGTTGCTGCTCTCGGATGTCGTCCGTGCCATTTCAAGAGTAAGCGGTATCCGGACAGCAAATCTGGGATTGCCGACATGAAACGACCACGATGGCCGTTCTTGCCGCACCTTTCTTGCGTCGTGCGACTGCCGACAGAGTAACCTGCGTGATAGGGCGACTAGCTTGCTACAAATACTTTCTCCCCTTGCAGAGATTGCTCTGACCTCAATGGGGCAGCAGCGCTTCTCTGCAAGCAGCGCTTCGTCGACGACCCTTGTTGATAGACAAACGAGTACCCAGCCAACGTTGGCGAAGCGACGCGGCGCAACCAGGTGTTAGGCTGGGCGTCAGGCTGCCTTCTAGCAAAATACCGGTTTCGATCTTGTTGCGCTGGACGAGAATGCTAACGGTTGAATTGGACTTTGAACCAACGATAAATGCCGGTGTATTCGATGCACTAGTGTCTTGCTACTCCACCAAGCAGTGCTCGGCAGAGCCAACTCAATGCGTTGCGATAGCTCCGTGCCCGCGTCCATGCGCTCAATGCCTGTACAAGGCAAGGGAAGGTACCGCCAAAACGTGCGTTTTCGATGATGCACACTGAGATCGCGTGGCGAAACAGAGAGCAATGAGTACCATCCATGTCGAAACAGTGGAGCCTCGTCGCTTTCACCAACACCCAAGGGATTCCTTGGCGGAGCGTCATTGCCGAGCAAGTCCTTTGCCCTGGCGACGAGTCTCAGACGCTGAGCATCCGGATAAACACATTTATCAAAAGTGCCTCCATCCTCCATGCGAGGCGAGAAGCGCAAGCGGACGCCCACCCGCGCCGATGGCATCCATCCGCGCAACAAGTACAGGGCTCCGCCCGACTTCAAGGAGCTCTCTGCCTCGTACCCGTCGCTGCTGCCCTAGTATGCCACGTCATCCTTGGTGGACAACGACTCATTCATCATACCAATAGCCTCCTGCCCACGGCGGCCGGCGGCATGCACATGCAATGGCACGAGCCCGACGCCTTGCGGTACACATACCCCGTTCCTGTTTATTTCATCGAAGTCAATTGATTGTCCCGTAGAGAGCTCACAAAGGCCTTGCTGCACCGAGACTTTGGGCTGACCTGGGATATGCCATCGACCAACCTGTGCCCGACGGTATGAACCATGTCGGCTAGGCATCCGGGAATCATCATTTGACGCATGTAGTTGACCAACCGACTCAACTACATTCACTGGATTGAAGACCTTCTCTTGCTCTCGCGACGTACGTACGTGGGCAACGACATCGTCGGCATTGATGTTGGCACGGGCGCGTCGTGCATCTATCCGCTCCTCGGCCACGCCTTGAATCAGTGGCGCTTCGTCGCGACCGACATTGACGCAGCATCGCTCGAGTGCGCGCGCGCCAACGTCGCCGCCAACGACCTCGAGCAGCACATTTCGCTGCGCCTCGTCGATGGAGCGTCATGTGTCCTCCCGACGCCACTGCCCCCAGCGGTTGACTTTAGCATGTGCAACCCGCCCTTCTTCGACTCGATGGACGAGGCCGACACGAACCCGCGCACGAGCTGCACGGGGTCGCTGAATGAGATGACGACACCTGGCGGCGAAGTCGCGTTTATCGAGCGCCTCATTGACGCAAGTCGTGCGCTCCAGACCCAAGGTAGGCTCGTTTCGCCCAAGCCGTCGGAGCTAACAACGACGCGGGATCTAGTGCGCTGGTATACGTCGCTCATCGGACGCAAGAGCTCGCTTCGGCCGCTTCTCGCGACGTTGCGCGCCGCTGGCATTCGCAACACGCGCACAACCGAGTTCTTGCAGGGTCGAACGACGCGCTGGGGCCTCGCGTGGTCATTTACAAGTGACGGCATGGACGCTGCCGACCTCGTATTACAAACTGCGCACAACTGCATGCTACTCCATCCTGCTTGTATAGGCTGCCCACAAGGTTCTCGGGAAGCGCAAGGAGCGACAGCGGCGCGGTACGATGGCATTCCAAGTCGACCGCCTCGCCCCGATGCAAGGTACTACCTTTGTCTCCCCATATACGCGGTGTGTGCAAGTGGTTTCATAGAGGCTAGTCCTATCCACGGCTGCAGAATGCTATGCGACGTCCATGCTCGCATCCTCGAGAGCCCTGCCCATGTGCTCCAGGTATAGCGGCGCGATGCGGGATTCTCGATCGTAAATGAGTCGCGCGCGATGTAGGGGTGCCTGGCTGTCGAATCTCTGGGCGAAAGCACCGAGACGAAAAGCGACTACATGCTCTCATACGAACGCGACGGAGCGGTCGAGTGGGTGGCCGAAGCGAGCGTTCTGGCCTTGGACACAACCTTTGACGTGACGCTGACGTGGCGCGACGGGAAGAGAGATCTCTTCTGGCAGATCGCAGACCAGTGGAAAGGCGCGATCGTGCGCACGGGCCGCACATGGCGGAAGCGCCATCAGGGCTTTTACGTGGATGCAACTGGAGCCTCCCAAGTATAAAGTTCGCAAGGTTTACCGGTAGGTACGATTGAGTTTTTGAGTTTTTGAGTTTTGAGTTTACAGCCAATGGCTGCGCACCAATCAACAGAGCGCGTGCCAGACAACCTCATTTAGACTAAGAAACATGTCGGCCCGCGTGACCAAGCAAATCCTGCGCGCGACCGTGCTTGTGGACGAGCCGTCCAAGACGAAGGGCAAGGCCGCCGGCAAGTCCAAGTCAGGGGTTGCGGCAAAGACCAAGTCGCTTAAGAAGCGCCGGCAGTTCCTTGACGAGGCTCGCATCGAGCGCAGCAAGGCCGACAACACGGCCAAGAACATTGCCGTGCTCACAAAGCTGACAAAGACGCCAAAGGCACAGGATCTCATGAAGAAGGTAGATGCACCTGCCACGCGATTTCTTCGACACTCATCATCCTCGTGTAGATCCTCAAGCAAACGCAACGCTTGTAGGCGGGACGCTGCTTCCACCTCGTGTACTACCTTATTTTAATCGCCATCGTAATCCACCGCTCCTCTTGCGCGCCCTTCGTGTTTTTGCCGCCATTTGCTGCATAGCTATGTAGCATCAAGCGTTGCTCCGTTAGACACGATCGATCGTTGGTCGTCATCCTTCGCTCCTTGCCCCTGCAGGCAACAGCGACGTGAGGCGTCACGTCAACGCGACGTTGTAGTTGGCTCGATCCAGTGTGGTGTACGTTTGTATGTATTACGACAGGGACAAGCAAGTTCACTGTCGCTCGCGGGCGTTCTTAGTTGCTACCCATCGCAGTGTCCGTGAGCCATTGCACAGTCTGTGCACAGAGTACCTTTCGTCCTTGGGCTTGACGACCGTCGCCTTGATGCCGCTCTCGTGCACGTTGACCTTGACCGTATCCAAGCCGTCAAAGTCGTCCTACGCAGCGTTATATCGGACCTGTATGGGCGTGGCCTACCTTGGACATCTGCGAGACCGTGTACGAGAAGACAGAGATGGCAAACGTGCTGAGCGCACCGGCGAGGATCAAGTTCTTCTTCAGCACCGAGTTCATGGCGGCCACGGATTCAATACAATACCATCGGCCGCGCAGCCTACATTGTCCGGATACATCCGGATAGACCGTGCACGAAGTCCACGTTGCAATCCCTCGGTTTAGAGACCGTATCCAAACGACGTACCCGCAGCACCTCTACATAGCAAGGGACATGCCCCTAAAGACAGGGATGTCCGGATAACAGAGCTCCACGCGGTTGCTGTATGCGGATGATTGCCGTCTATACAAAAAGCGAGACAACATGTTTTTGCATCGCTGCTTACGACCGCGTTTGATTGGATGGAATCATAGCGGAGCCATTACGTACTTTGAGTCACTTCCACATTTGCCTCCTGTCAACATGCTGGCGCTCACGGACCTCTTCGCTGAGCACGCGAAGCTGCTCGCGGCCTTTCGG